TGAGACAACCCAATATTTATTTGTTTATTTAGGCGCTATCGCAATATACAGGGTCATTTAGTAAATGCCTGTCACCGTTCCATGAACTTGTCTATAGATGTACATGTTAAAGCGTGTCAATTAGTGGTTTGATATTCAGAGAGAAGAGCAAATGCTTCACGTCAAAGGCTAGGCTTTTTAAAGGTTTACCCTAACAAGTTCCTTATTTTTACTGCTATGCGCTGACAAGATGACAGAAGACACGAAAGGGGAGGAGCAGGAGGATTTCACCTCATTCCAAACTATGAATAATGCATTATCAGAAAAAGAGCAGGTTGATAGAAATCAAACATTATCCATGTACTTGTTAGGATGGGCGGAAGTGGTGTAGTGGCAAGTGGCACGCTTACCACGCGAGCGGTCCGGGGATCAAATCCTGGGTCGTGAGTCGCCCGGGCCAACCAAGCCTTCCATCCCTCCGGGGTCGGTTAATTGGTACCAGACTTGTCTGGGAGGATTCAAAATAACACTTTTGGAGCAATTGTTGCAAGCAAATGACTCAGTTGTGATCAGGGTTTGAAATAATTGTATTATTCGACACGGCAACCCGGTATTTCAAGAACGATGATTTTTTTTCGGAAAAAACCCCTCTCACTATTTCTTGCCAATTCCTTTCGTTTGTATTGTATTTTTATGACTCATTGCTGTAATAAAATACCACATCTGTCCTGCGAATAGGCAGCTGAAATACAAAGTAACGTAATTACAATGGGGATTAATAAGAGAGAAAACAAAACATGACGCTTCCAAAGGGGTGGATATGTATTGGGCTGTTCGGAAAGTTTATGCTGTTTCTCGTAACTCACTTCAAACGCTTCATTTCTAATTCACTTCCAAGAAACTGCTACAACTATACATATCATTAGAAAGCGCGTTTCTCGCTCTATCTGAAATACTGTTACTTCAACCCTGAAACACTTTTCTCTCTTTTTTGAAGCCTTGAATACAACATACTCAACAGGCTGTTATGTACGAGTTTCTTGTTTCCTCTCAAATTTGTTGAAAAGTGTTGAAGCAAGTCGGATATCAACTGAGCATTTGGTCCGAATCCACAAAAAATTCGGTGTGCAGTCGTGATTCAAAATGTTTTTCTCGCGATGATAAAGCTTCGAAGAAGATTAGGGTGAAGGTCGGATATCGGAGACTGACAAAGATTAACTGAGGGTTTTGATCAAACCAAATCTGCATGGAACTGTTGAACAGGCCGCTTCTTAATTAGGCGTAACTGAGATGGGGTTCCTAAATATACAGGTGTCCAAAAAGCGTCGTGTCCAAAAAATGTCCAAAGAATTCGACAAGTGGGTGCCGCCGACTCTTCCATGCAGTTGCGCTATCCTATCTCGCACTTCCAGCTGTGCACAAGTTGAACTAGCCGAGCTACAAAACTGCTGCGAAAATCTTGCACAGTAGACCTCTTGCCTACCAACTTTTCCAGCCATCTGGATAGTCTTTTCAAAGAGATCAAACGTTGAAACCCAGTAGATGGAGAAATGACCTTCACCAAGTTCTTCCGCCTAGAAAACTCCAGCACTCCAACATCCAAATCTATTAAACCTCTCCATTTGAGTAAAGGCAGGTAGGGATCGTTACAGTTTTTATATCGATCAATTATAT